GATGGAAGGCCACATGGAATGATGGGCGAAGTGCACTAGTGGAGTTTAAGAGAAAGGGAAGAAGAATCACCATGCTATAGAGGGAATGAATAATGGAGGGAGTGAAATATGTTGTGGTGAATGAAGTGTATGGAGACAAAGATTGCATGTATATGATTGAACAATGTTTTGATAGTAAAAATGAATATTCTAGACCACATTGAACAAAAATTCTATTCATTTTTTCACTATTTATTTGAAGAAGTTTTTTCAAAAGCTGAACATTTGTATTGAAAAATATAGTCAGCAAAAAAGAAACATGTTTAATTTTAAAATAGAGGATGAAAAGTTGCAAATGCCTTTTCTCTTCAGGGGGTGTTTGGAACTGATTCTGCTTCTGCTTCTTTTTTAAAGCAGAAGCAAAATCAGAATCAATTTTCGGAAGCTGGTACCCCCAGCTTCTAAAAAAACTGATTCTGAGAGTAAATTAGAGCACCAGAAGTGCTTCTGCAATTTCACCCCAAACACTCTAGCTTATGCTTCTGCTCCCTGAAGGAGCAGAATCAGTTTTGAGAATCAGATCCAAATACCCCCTCAATCTCATGAAATATCCTTTGAGATTATGCTTTGACTTAAGTCCCATTTTAAAAACAAAAATTTACCGGTCAATACGAAATTTATGCTCCATATTGAGGTTTACCAAGTATAACTGACACATAAAATAATAAAATAACAATCATGGATTGAAGGTTTGGGTTTTGTGTAGAAGATATAGAAATAATAAAAGTCACAAACTTATTGCTTTGAAATGAAAGTGAAATACTTTTTGGCAAATATGAAAAGAAAAGTTAGCAAAATTCAACAAGAAAAAAAAAACATTCTTTTGATCTTATTTGGATACAAGGCAAACTTTCCAGCATGACTTGGGTGGACAATTCACTATTGGTTCGGAGCGGCCCATTTTTACCGCTCAGACCCAATCATGGCAGCTCCGACAGTCTCTTCATCTTAATGCCCCCACAGGGTCACAAGCCCACGTCACTGAGCTCGGCTCAGTGATATTCAACAAGAAAGTATTAATAATTAAAGTCATTATATTAGGTAGGATGAAAAAGATATACACTTAGTTTTTTAATGGAAAATATAGATGTAAGCTTCATAAATTTTAAAGGTTGCTCCTATTTTCTTAAAAACATCGTGAGAGGTGTAAAAAAAATTGTGAGAAAATCATATGGGAATAAATAATTAGAAAAGCTTCCACATTAATGGGACATATATACACGATATATTTAATTTATTTATCAATATATTTAAATATTAGTCAAACTTTTATTTCGAATATTAATTTATGAATGATTAAGAAAAACTCAGCTATTTACATCGCATGTTTTAGTTATTTATTAAAAGAAACAAATGACATATATATTACTAGCAAAGTTTCTCCAAACAAAAATATGATTTGTTATGTTTTTTGAACAAAAGTATGACTAGTCACTGTGTACGAGTAATTGGACAAGAGTCACTATAGTGTATTTCAGGGTGATAAGCCACTGGTAGATGATAAGTCATTGATAACTAGTCACTAAATATGTCTTTTTTTTGGAAAAAATTAAAATAAGTCATATTTTTGTCTTTTGAATTTAATTTAGTAATATTAATAGAAATAGGTCGTTACGAAAAAAAGACACAATAATTACCTATAAGGTTTCCTTAGACAAATATATGACCATTTTGAAACTTTACAATAAAGTGACTAACACATCTCTCCTCCCCATCGAGATTGACGCATTTGGGAAGTGGGAACGATCGATCGCAGAGGCCATCTTCTTCGCTTATACTCCCTCCGTCCCAAAAACAACTTCCCGCTTTCCTTAAACGGATGTCCCTAAATTAACTTCACACTTCAATACTTTCCTTATTTGGCAAATTATCTACATCAAAACAGTGTCAAACAGTGCTAAACAGTGCAAAATAGTGCACCTAACAGTAAAGTCAAATTTATTTTCTTAATCTGTGTGATTGTCAAACTGTGAAGTTGTTTTTGGGACGGAGGAAGTATATCATCGACCTCACAGCCTGCAACCACGCCTCTAGCGGCCTCCATCCGCCTCCATTTCCGTGCTCCGCCGGTCATCGTCGCCCTCCCTTGTGCCGATTTCTGTTTCTTCCCTTTTCTGTCCGGCCAATGTGGAGGTTGACGACGCCCTCTTCATCCACGAAGGCTTGGTTGTCGCAGGTACGGGAGCTCGTTAATACGTCAGGTCTGCGTCGCATCTGTCTAAAACTCAACCACACCGAATATCTAAGCCCCGATCTGTTGGATTGCCGTTTTGGGCCTGATCTGTCGTCACCGTCGGCCATATCCACCGTCGTCTTCGTCAGAACTGTTGTTACAGGTCGTGGCTAGGGTTGCTACGCGGGGACACTGGAGAGGGCTCTGGTGACTTGGGCAATAGTTACTGTAACAGGGGACTGGTGCGGGTGGTCGGATTGAATCTTGGGAGGTGGTTTCGGGTAGGTCAGGTTGGCGGGGCAGGGGCTGGGGAAGGGGATGGGGGTTTTCGAGTGCTGGGGCTTTGGGATGGGGAGGGTAGTGGAAATGCGGTGTATGAGAGACAAGAGAGGCATTGATGGTGGTGGTGATTGGTGGTGGTCGAAATAACTTTGGCCAGAGTGATTGTGTGTCACTAGGGATATGTAACCGCGGAGATGTCACTATCGAGGTGGCTGGCGTTGGCCGACAGTGGAGATGTCAATGTGGCTAGAGTTTGAGGCGGAGATGTCACTATGAAGATGCCACTGGGGAGGTGTCACTATGGCCGAAGTTGGTGGCAGACGGTGGTACAGGTGGCGGGGGTGGTGACAGTGACATGAAAATTGGACAATGACATGAATATTTGATTGTCACTTTATCTTAGTCACATTTTTGTCAATTATCTTAGTCGCATTTTTGTCCAAGTGTAAATGTAGTTACATTTTTGAAAATTAGCCTTTTTTAGTAATATTAAGGAAAACCCCATTAAAAAATAAAAGGGATAATTTGACTTTGCACCCCACTTTTTGGGTGATATTGGACTTTGCACCTCATTTTAAAAAACCTTTGACTTTGCACCCTATCATATAACATTTGAGAAGGAAAATTTCTAAATGGGGTGTAAAGTCAAATGATTTTGAAGTGAAATGGGGTGCAAAATAAAAGTTTTTTTAAAATGGGTTGCAAAGTCTAATATCATACAAAAAGTGGGGTGCAAAGTCAAATTCCCCCAAAATAAAACTATGTGATTTATGTCTGTGTTTAAAGAACTAGACCGGACCGGCCGATTTGACCCGGAACCGGGCGACCCATAGCACAATCTGGTCCGGTTATCGGCGAACCCGCAATGTGATGAAATCCGGAAATACCCGGTGGCCCGTACAGACCCGGCCCGGAAACTGAACCGTCTAAGTCCGGAAAAGAGACAAAACCCAACCCAAGTGAGGAAATATGTAGCTACTGGGAAATACTGCTGCGCCTATTCCATTACACCATCCAGAGTTGTTTGCTTTTTGACTCTTTAACATGTATTCATGCTCCCTCCGTATTTTATGTTCACTACATTTGGTTTGACACATTATTTAAGAAGTCAGTAGGGGTAGTGAATAGTGTAGAAAAAATAGGAGAGAATATGTAAAAGTATGAAAGAGAAGATAAAAAGTAGAAAAATAAGGGTAGTTGAGTATTTTATAAAGGATAAACTTACCAAAAATGAATGTGCAGCAAACTTTTAAATACATCCCAAAAAGGAAAGTGTAGCAAACATTAAATACGGAGGGAGTATAATATTACGACGTTTGTATTAAAAAATTGTTTAATTAAGGTCTTTTGCTAGTTGTTGACTTCTTGCTCCCCAAAAATCACACGGAGTAATAAAAATGATAATAAATATTATACCTATTATTATACGGAGTAAGTAGATATACCTATATAATATTTATTCTAATTCTACTTCTACTTTTAAAAAGATCATGCAATCCATTCTTAATAAGTTAGGTGAGACCAACTTTGATAAATTTATTCTAATTCTACTTCTACTTTTAGAAAAGTAGAATCAATTTCAAACACTCAATAGTTCAAGTTAAGAGCTTGTTTGGCAACACTCTAATTGGTTGATTCTTTTGAATTTTATGAAGTTTCAGCTGAAGTGCTGAATCGGCTTATTCTGCTGGATTATACAAAAATTATGTTTCAAATATATTTAATCAATAAAATAAAGAAAAGTTATATGAAAAGATAGTTAAATGATCCTTTATTGTAACTCCAGTCAATCCAATTAAAAAGTAACAAGAACCTTATATATTTTGATAATTATACTCCCTCCGTCCCATTTTGTTTGTCTTACTTTTCTTTTTTGATTGTTCCAAAATGAATGTCATGTTTTCCTTTTGGTAAGAAATTTGTGATCAATATCATTTAATTTCATTCTACTCAAATTTCAACTACAACTTTTACTTTTCAACTACTTTATTAATAATCGCGTCAAATTGAAATGAGACAACTATTATGGGACATAGGTAGTACAATGCAGTGCGCGAGATTAAAAGTTGCAGACTTTAATAAAGGTTAGCCCATAAAGTTGATAATAAATGGAAAAACAAAGTAAGAGATACGGTTAGTTTTTTAAAAATTTAGCCTTTGCAACTTCTTTTATCAAATACTTAAATTTTAATTTTAAATTAAAGGGAATTTGACTTTGCATCCTATGTTTTAAGCCATATTAGACTTTGCATCATATATTCAAAATCATTAATATTTGCACCCCCATTAGTTCAAAAATTGTGAACTAGAGTGGGGTGCAAAGTCAAACGACTATATAGTGAAATAGAGTGCAAATATTAATGATTTTGAAAATTGGGTACAAAGTTCAATATTAACCAAAACATGAAGTGCAAAGTCAAATTCTCCCTTAAATTAACTCTAATTTTGCCCACTAAATAGTTTAAATGGTAATCATTCAGTTTAAATGGTAATCTTGTTCCCTAGCCTGGCCATCAGCAATGAAACCGATGCCTGTCTTGGAGAAGAAGGCAGACAGCTTCTAGGACCTGTGTTCAAGTAACAAAACGTAAACCACTAATCCAAAATGAAAATTCACGGCATAACTGCTCATAAACTCAGACACGGGTTGCAGCTTATTGCGCGTTCTGCTCCAGGGCTTCAAGTATCGCTTGCTGCAACTATACTGGGTGTTGCTGGATTGGCTTACGCCGTAAAAGATATCAAATTCTTGAATCTTAGCAGTTTGAAATGGTCTTCAGGCTCCAACACTTGTTCCGACGATTCTATGCTACTACCAGGCCTGCAAAATTTTGGAAACAATTGCTTTTTGAATGCAGTTCTCCAGGTAGATTTTCATTCGTTGCACTTGCTCTTCCATTTCTGGCTCCTTAAATTGATTGTGGCCCTCCTTTAATGAACTTAGGCATTAGCTAGCTGTCAGAGCTTCCGGAACTTTCTCGAGGGACTAGTTTCTGAAGTTGGGGGATCATCCACGGAAGGCAGTGAGGAAAACTCGTCTCTTGCCGATGCTTTATTTTGGTTGCTAGAAGGTGAGTATTGAGATACCCCAATTGGGTTAGGCATTTGCATTGGCCCGAATTTATTGTTATTGTTGAAACCATAAATGGAAGCATGGTCCCCATGTAATAATTTGATTAGACAAGTCTTAAAACATAAGTATGGAGCAAATAATAGAAGTATTATGCTAGAATAGTCATGAGTTGAGTTACAACCTGTATACTCCTTCACTAAGAATTGTAATTTGCACTGATTTACTAAAATTTTATGAAACCATACACCACTCCTACGAAGTCGAATGGACTTATGTGGCATCATCGTTATCACGCATTGTCATTGTGAGATTGCCCCACTATGAAAACAAGTGATAATAGTGAGGTCACACCAGCCCATATGACTCCATAGGAGAGTCATATATGGTTCTATAAAACTTTGTCTAGTTTTGTGTTACTTATCAAACTTTCATCCAATATTCTGTAAACGTGTATGGTTAGTTTGTTAATTCTTATTATGGTTTTTTTTTAATTCTTTTTGTTATCTTAGGATTGCGCCACTCTTAATTCATAATAATGAATTTGAAGTATTGTAGTTATTTTGAATTGTGACAAAGTTTGTGCATTTTCTTAGAGCAACATAGTATGAAAGTTATTAAGAGTGAGGTAGATGACATGATTTCGGACCTTCAATGAAAACATGAAATAATGTAGGAAATTCAAATCTTTCTTAGTTTCTTCTGCCTCTCATCACAATTGTGTTACTTCATGCTGCATTATTTTATATTTTTATTGATGTGTGCATTTTAAGGGAGAAATCTTGAAATAACATCTAATGGAAAGGAGGAGTACCCTTGGAGTCGTGCAGTTCTCCCACATTGAAGGAATACTAGGTATTACCAAAATATGAAGTCTTTACTTTTTATTCCTTCCAACAAGACTACATGTTTTGGTAATACATTTGTATTATGTAAGTACATTTATATGAAGTCATGGTATGACTGTACGACATTAAACTGAAATGAGCAATTTGATCCAAGGAGCCACCTTCTTGAATGACATGTTAAGGGATGAGTCCCACATCAAGCATTTCATTTACATGTTATGTTAATTAACTGCTAAATACTATCTTACTATCTCTAAGAACTCTGCACACTTCAACATGGAAGAACTGTATTAAGTCCTCAGAAACTGATGCACGCCATGAATGAATATATTCCAAATTTCAACATGACAAGCCAACAGGTATATGTTACTGTGGTCACTGTTGAGCAATCGTTTTAAGATGTCATTCTTCCCTCTTAACTAATTAAATGGTCATGTAGGATGCAGAAGAAGCGCTATATCACCTCTTATCTTCTTTAAGGGAAGAGTTGTCAGAGTCTTATGTCCATGGATGTATCTCTTTAGCGGATGTGACTGGTCTTCCTAACTGTAGAGTTCTGGACTTAAAGAAGTCAAGAAAAAGTGAACCAGAAAGGTGGAGGCAATATTTTATTGGGCCTTTTTATGGGATTCTTTGTAGCAGCTTAATGTGCCAAAGCTGTTCGCTTCAGGTTGAGTTGAACTTGAAAGGATATCTGCATTTCTCTGAATGTTACACTACTTGTTCTTTCTCTATGTTAAATTGGACATGACTGGCCCAGCAAGGATCCTCAAGAGTTGAGGTTTACGTCACATTGATACTAGACTCAAGTCAAGTATAAAACAAATGTGAGATACTTAATATGAAGTAGTTAATAAACTTATTCAGCCCAAGCTGGGTTGAAGCTGTGGGTAATTAGGCCCAGCTGACCCCAAATGGGAAGCCCAGTAGCCCACAAACCAGCATTAGATCAGACTATGATGCACGTTAAATAGGGCTTACCTCACTCCAAAATGATTTTCAAGAGTGATATTTACCTCACACTTATATAATGGATTCACAACCATGTGGGATACCTATTACTCTTTATGCAAGACACTTTTTTTTGGATTTTCAGCTTTTTCAGAGTTTGCATCTTCTACCAAGAGCTGACTATGATGGGAGTATTGTATGTTGTAAAGTCAATATATAATATTTTTTCAATCATTAGTGTTCTTGTTTGAGCCATATGAGCTAACTTAGGTGGCCAGATGCCGTGTGGAGGATTGTCTAAGGCGGTTCTTGGTGGCAGAGCAACTTGAGAGTTACTATTGTAGTCACTGTTGGCACATTGCTGCAATAAAGTATGCATCTAAAATAATTGTAGATGAGGTAATGTTCCATAATTTTTGAGCCAGCTTCATTTAAGGAGCTATCTATAACATGTCTTTGTTATACTTCAAAAATTTCTTACCTTTTGAAATTATAGTATGCACTATATTTTTCAGGGCCTGTATGGTAAGGCTTGAAATGACATATAAGTGGTCGACTTAATTGAAATTGCTGAGGTTGTGTTCCGATTGTTGTATCTCTGAATTATTTAAATAAGTTATTTATTCAGAAATGAGAAATATATATTTAAACAAATAAAAGAAGATAAAATCTAAAAATGAAGCTTAATGTACCAATCTTATCCATTTTAGCTGTTTCAGCCTAAATTAACTCCTGTAGTACTGTTAGAATAGTTAGTGTGTGTGGTGAAAATGTGGCTAATAAGGCTGATAAGATTAAATAAATTCTTAACAAAGGAGTTGTTAATTTAAAAGTTAGTGAATATTAAGCTCCATTTTCGTGTGATTCATATTTGCAGATTGCTGTTAAAAAACTGAAGCTCTGCCAGGAGTTAGATTCATGTGATTGCAAAGAGATGTCATGTCTCAGAGCATTGCCATGGTCAAATGAATTTTCGCGTACCTTCAAGCAATTTAGTATTGCTCACAGCCCGCAAGTATGAGAATTGACTCTTTTAATTAAGGTGTCAATCCATGGGTCTGTCATTACTTTATGTGGTTTTGTACTCAAGTTTACATGATTGATAGATCTCTAAATTGCAGATCTTGTGCATCCATCTCCAACGCGCCTCGATTAATGCCTTCGGAGAAAGTGTCAAACTTCAGGTATGTGTTGCCTGGCATTTAACCACGAGGTTAGAGAACATGTTGATAAATGATAATTGCCATAATGATAATATTAGTTATATTATTATTATTATTGTTATTCATATTACTACTACTGCTGTTATTATTACTATACCAACAACAACAATAACACATGCATGCATGCGGACGTAATTCCGGACCAAGGGACCTGCGCACTCGGTTGTTATTATCTGTATTATCACTTTAGCTATTTATTTATTAAAAAGGTTGCAGATAATATTTGACTGACTCGTGTATATCACATAGTTAGGCGGTTAGCTTCTTTTACGTAGTTGATGTAGAATTGAATACTTTGTTGTAATCATGTATATATACGTAGCTCCTCATCAATAAAATCACGATTGAAACTCTATTTTGGTATCAGACGACCACCCGGCCATGGCTTCTCCTTCTTCCTCAAAATTCCTCCCCGCCCTGGCCGTCACTCATATAAAAAACTTTATCCCAATCACCCTTGCTCTTGATACCGCCGAATATTCTTCCTGGGCGGAGCTCTTTAAGATCACTGCCAGGGCTTATCAAGTCCTTGATCATATTCTTCCCTCTACTACGACGTCCTCCACCACGACGTCCTCCACCACTACGCCGGCTCTTACACCCGAACAACAACTCGAACGAGAAGCTGCTGCTGCCGAGGCCAGCCTCCTTTGGGATCGCCTCGATGCCGTGGTCCTTCAATGAATTTACGGTACGATTTCTCACGACTTGTTGCACACCATCATTGCTCCGGACTCTACGGTGGCCAGTGCTTGGGAACGTCTTGAAGACATTTTTCAGGACAATAAAAATTCCCGGGCAGTCTACTTGGAGGATCAATTCTCCAATACTCGACTTGAGCAATTTCCGAATATTGCCGCATATTGCCAAGCTCTGAAAATCCTTTCGGATCAGTTGAAAAATGTTGATGCTCCGGTTAAGAACGATTGCCTCGTTCTTCGTCTTGTGTGTGGTCTGCCAGCACACTATGACACGGTCGCCACCTTCATTCAACAGACGGTTCCACTTCCTCTCTTTTCTAAAGCATGGTCGATGCTTTTGCTTGAAGAAGCTCGGTCCACGCTGGGCCTCGTCCACCCCCTCCGCCGCCACCTCCTCGTTCGGATAATCGTGCTGCCCGTCCTCGTGGCCGGAATTCTTCTCGCGGCGGCAGAAACCGGGCTCCTACTCGCCCTGAGGGTCCGTTGCCTGTATTTGATATGTCAGCCCGGTCCGGACAATGGCCATTTCCCCCATGGTCATACTGGCCTACGGCTCCATGGGCTCCTCCTCCATGCCCATATCCGGCAGTACCATGGAATGGGGCTTCTCCTTCTCCTCGTGCATCTGCCGGCATTCTTGGGCCGGCCCCTCACCAAGCACACTTAGGAGGGCCGTCTACTGCCCCTACCGATATCACGGCGGCCATGCATACCATGTCACTTTCCCAGCCGGATCCCAATTGGTATATGGATACGGGCGCTACGTCTCACATGACGTCCTCTTCTGGTACTCTTACGCCCTATTTTAATACTTGTACTAATGCACGTATCCTGGTTGGCAATGGTCATTCTATTCCAGTTTCGGGACATGGCCATACCATTCTACCCTCATCTAAGTCCCCTTTACATTTAAATAATGTTCTTCATGCACCTCAGTTAATTAAAAATCTTGTTTCTGTGCGTCAATTCACTTCTGATAATAATGTATCCGTTGAATTTGACCCGTTTGGTTTTTCTGTGAAGGATCTCCACTCGGGGGCGCCAGTTCTGAGGTGTAACAGTTCCAGTCATTTATACCCCGTCCTGCCATTATCTGCATCACGCCCCAAATCACCTTCCGCTATGCTTATGTTACCGGCCGAAATCTGGCACAATCGGCTTGGTCACCCAGGGGATTGACGTGCACTTTGTCGTGGTGTGCACTCAAAATAATATTCAATACAACAATTATACGTAGTATAATGAAGTAAGGTTCGTATCCACAGAGAAAGGAACACTTCTCTTTTTATAGAAATAAATAAATAATAACAGGGGGGTTTTATATTTGGTTGATGAACTTAAATTATATTTAAGCACGAAGATGAACGAGTTATGTGGTTTAATTAATGAGAAGGAGACTTGGTTTTGCTTTTATCCACTTAATGAAATGTTCGTCGATCCCGGTTATATCTTTAACTATCTTCCTCTCGAATACTCAATCGAGGAGTATATCCAGTTCATCGAGGGTAGTTATTAATAACGAGAAGCGTTCATTAATAAAACTTACTATCGAGTCAATATAGAACAAGCGCCGTATATTAACTTGATAGTAGCAATAAACTTAAGATGAAAATGATTGAGATTGATAACCTCAACACAAGCGATTTATTGGTTTAATCAATATAATTAATTCCTCTTGGCTTATTAACCATGAGAAGCATGCATTAACAACCCAAGTTTACTACCATGAAAGAACCGAATTAATAACAAGCGTATTAACCGATTGATTCTAGTATTAATTAATATATGAAACAAAACTAATTGATCCTTTAAGTAATGCTCAAAATATTAATATGAAATATGAATAGGAATTAATTAATACTCAAGAAAGAATATTAAAGAAGATGAATCCTACTATAGTTAATATCAAGATGTTAACTAATTGTCATCTCAGTAACACTCCCCGATATTAACGTAGAGGAAGAAATAACTATTACTATAACTAATGTCAAGATGTTAACTAATTGTTATCTTAGTAACACTCCCCAACATTGATATAGAAATAGTATTTAAAGAAAGAATTAATATTCAAGAAAGAAGATTAAAGATAATAACTCACAACTTACAAATTCATTAAGCTTCAAAGGAGCAAAACCAAGATGGAAGAGTTTAGCTCCTCATTTGGAGACTAAACATGCTATAAAAATAAAAGAAATACTATTCTAAACTGAGCTAAAGAGTATGGAAGAAGGGATTATTGTTAGTGAAGGAAAAGTGTGCTATTTATAGGTGTTTTTCAACACCTTTGGCCGGGTACCCGACCGGGTAGAGTATCTACCTGACCGGGTACCGGTCCGAATCAAATATTTCCCACGTTCTAGTGTTCTTCAGCACGTCGGGTTGTCTTCGGTCAAGTCTCACCCGACCGGGTGAGGTATAGGGCCCGACCGGGCTAAGCAGTTTCCTGGAGATCGCAATTGTTAATTCAAACCCGATCGGGTGAAGGTTTTGACCCGGTCGGGTTTACACTCCTGGGCAGCATTCTCCTTGTTTTTCTTCCTTTTCCTTGCCAATAATTCTACCAAAACTTCCTAACTCACAAATAAAAGCTAAAAATACTTACAAATAAAAGTAAACAAATGTTTACAACTACACACAAATGGTAAACAATCCACACAAAACAAGATATAAAAACACACATTTATGCACTACTAACTAGTGCATATCAGGGATCCAGTTTTTAATTTTCTTAGAGTCAATAATACTATCCCCTGTAATAAATTATCATCGTCTGTTTGTAATTCGTGTCAATTAGGGAAACATGTTAAATTACCTTTTCCATCATCATTGTCTGTCACATTTCAACCATTTGACTTGATACACAGTGATTTATGGACATCTCCTGTTTTAAGTTCTACAGGCCATCGTTATTATGTCTTATTTTTTACTCCAAATTCTTATGGGTTTATCCACTTCACCACAAATCGGAGACGTTTTCTGTATTTGTTAATTTCTACAATTACATACAGACTCAGTTCGAACGCCATATAAAAGTATTTCAGTGTGACAATGGTACTGAATTTACTAACTCAGTTTTTCGAAAATTTGGAGATGATCATGACATTCATTTCCGTTTTTCTTGCCCATATACCTCCCCCCAAAATGGCAAAGCAGAACGGACCATACACACTCTAAATAATATGGCTCGAACACTCCTTCTTCATGCCCATCTTCCTCCGAAACTCTGGCCACACGCCATTCAAATGGCCAACTACTTATATAATATTCTTCCCGCCCAATCCATTCACTACTACACTCCTACCACCCTTCTATACCAAAAAACCCCTACCTACACTCATCTTCGAGTATTTGGATGCCTTTGCTATCCACACACTCCTTACCCCGCTCATAACAAACTCCTAGCCCGCTCCACCCCGTGTGTTTTTTTGGGATACCCAACTAATCACAAAGGATACAAATGTTTGGATCTTGCTACTCATAAACTTATCATATCCCGTCATGTAACGTTTAATGAGTCTACCTTTCCATTTCAAACACCTTCCTCCCCACCCACAAACATTGATGACCTCCCACACATTGCTTCTCGGGTACCAGACGTGTTTGCATGGCCATCCCCAGAGCCCATGCATATTCCTTCACACGTCCCCCATCAGCCCACGGGTCAACCCATCAGCCCACCCTCCTCTCCGCCTCACGCACAAATACCCCCCAGTCCCCCATCCTCTCCGCCTCACGCACAAGTACCTCATGTCCCAGTACGTCACTCACCTCCACCATCCCATAGTCAACCTGCCCGTCACCCAATGATAACTCGTGCCCGGGCAGGGATTTCCAAACCAAAACACCTGCTTAACCTCTCGGCCATGCAGACTCCCTCTCCCTTGTCTAAATCACCCATAATTGCTCTCAATGATTCTCATTGGAAATCAGCCATGGATGACGAATTTAGTGCACTTATTAAAAATAGGACGTGGGAGTTGGTTCCCCGTCCCCATAATACTAATATTATCCGTTGCATGTGGCTTTTTAAACACAAATTTAGGTCAGATGGATCCTTTGAGCGCCACAAAGCTCGCCTCGTCGTCAATGGTAACTCACAACAAGTTGGGGTTGACTGTGATGAAACGTTTAGCCCTGTGGTCAAACCGGCCACCATTCGCACAGTTCTCAGCTTGGCTATCTCTCACTCTTGGCCGTTACATCAGTTGGACGTCAAGAACGCTTTTCTTCACGGACAATGGGAGGAAACCGTTTACATGCATCAACCGCCTGGGTACCGGGATGTGAATCATCCTAATCATGTATGCCGTCTCCTCAAATCTTTATACGGTCTAAAGCAGGCTCCTCGTGCGTGGTATCACCGTTTTGCTTCTTACGTGGGCACCCTTGGTTTTCAACATAGCAAGTGTGATCATTCCCTGTTTATTTTCCATCAATACAAGGACACCGCGTACATCTTATTGTACGTTGATGATATCATACTTACAGCATGTTCTGATCACCTCCGACGCTCCATCATGTCTCATCTCAGTGCTGAGTTTGCCATGAATGATCTCGGCCCATTATCTTATTTTTTAGGCGTCTCGGTCAAACGAGATTCCAACGGGCTCTTCCTATCTCAACAGTCCTACGCCGCAGACATTATATCACGAGCAGGGATGAGTTCATGCAATTCCGTGGCCACCCCAGTAGATACGACTTCCAAACTTAGTGCTAATTCAGGCCCACCCGTGGATGATCCCTCTCTTTATCGGAGTCTCGCCAGTGCTCTTCAATACCTTACTTTCACACGACCGGATATATCCTATGCCGTTCAACAAATTTGCTTGTTCATGCATGATCCTCGTGCTCCACATCTCCACGCCCTGAAGCTCATCATTCGGTATATCCACGGTACAGCACATTTTGGTATTACACTACGTCCATCCTCCGTCAGCTCCCTCACGGCCTACACCGATGCCGATTGGGGTGGCTGCCCGGACACCGGTCGTTCAACGTCCGGCTATTGTGTGTTCTTAGGCGACAATCTATTGTCATGGTCTTCCAAAAGGCAGCCCACCATCTCTCGGTCTAGTGCCGAGGCGGAATACCGCGAGGTCGCTAATGTTGTTGCCGAAACTTGTTGGTTACACAATCTTCTTCTGGAACTTCATTCTCCACTTCAAAAGGCATCTATTGTCTACTGTGACAATATTAGTGCCGTTTATATGTCTGGAACCCGGTACAACATCAAAGAACTGAACACATTGAAATCAATATTCATTTTGTTCGCGAAAAAGTTGCTTGCAGAGTTGCGGGGACATCCGAGTTTTGCATGTTCCTTCACGACATCAGTTTGCGGACATATTTACCAAAGGCCTTCCCCGCATTCTTTTTCAAGATTTCCGATCCAGTCTCAACGTTCAACCACCACTCGCTTCAACTGCGGGGGCGTAATAACGCATGCATGCATGCAGACGTAATTCCGGACCAAGGGACCTGCACACTCGGTTGTTATTATCTGTATTATCACTTAAGCTATTTATTTATTAAAAAGGTTGTAGACAGGGGCGGATCCAGGAATGCGGGATGGGGTGGGCTAAGCAGTAAAAGAATTTGTTACTGCACACAAGTGGTTTAACTTAAGGCTGTTATCGAACCAAACTTTTTTTTTGAAGTATTCGAGTTCTAGCATGATTTCGAATTTAATTTAACAACCCGAATTTAGCGAAGTTCAGACTCGAACACGGGTTAGATTTTTAGTTTGAATAGTTATTGAAGCCAAGTTCGAGCATAGTGATATTCAATTCGGTCCGAACTCGAGCCTATCGATAACTCATAAATTATAGGAATAAAATTTATATATCTTAACATTTAAATGTTTTAGTGCAATTTTATAATTTTTTAATGATTATTAAAGACTCTGGTATTTATTGGTATGAATTGAAGTACCTCTTTAAAGGTATAAAACTAATAAGTAAAAAGAATCGGTGTACATATAACTAATAAGTATTCATATTTCACAATTGAATTGAGATTTTTAATTTTTTTCTTATATTTCCAAACAATAAATAAATCTAGAACTATTAGGTAGTATATAAATGTAATCTTAAATAAAAACATGCAATATTTTACAAAAAAAAGTCATGATTGTTTGACCTTATGGGCTTTTAATTGTTTGACTTGTCTTTAATCATGCCTTTGGGGTGGGCTAGACAATACTTTTAGGATGGGCTGGATATGAAACCATTACTAATAATAATAGAAAAAAATTAGGTTGGGCTGGGCTGAAGCCCACCCTTGCCCCTTAATAAATCCGCCCATGGTTGTAGATAATATTTGACTGACTCAGGTATATCACATAGTTAGGCGGTTAGCTTCTTTTACGTAGTTGATGTAGAGTTGAATACTTTGTTGTAATCATGTATATATATACGTAGCTCCTCATCAATAAAATCACGATTGAAACTCTATTTAAGTAATTTAAATCCTCCAAACTTTGGAGATGTGTGAAATCAATTAATCCCAAACTTGCATATGTGACATAAATATGATGAACTTTATGTTAAAGGTGATTCTAGCATCACGTACATGGCTTTTTAGTTTCACAGATGCAGCTTTAGAGTGCCACATGCAAAATTTAAATACATGAAAATCTTGGGAGTGAGAACTTGGCATTCTAAACTTACATTTGTGAAGTAAATAATCTATGTTCATAGTGTTGAGATCACATATAATATAAAAGTTCATGATATTCATTTCAAACATGTAAGTTTGGGGTGTTGACTTCACACCTCACCAAATTTTGGGGTATCTAAACCGATTTGCCATAATAATATCATCTTGATGTAAAAATACCTTGTATGAATCCGCTTTCAACTCTTGGAATTTCACATATTTCTACGAATAGGATGTGATGCCTAATTTTATATAAAAAAATAGGAACTTTGGAATCTCTGAGATTTCTAATTGCCTGAAGTTGGTAGTGCTTTTCTCATAGGGCCACATATCTTATCCGTTGATATTGGATATGTCTCCATTTACAAAGACTCAGCTGGGAACAAAGGAATGTGAAGGAGGGCAGCAGATTAGTCTAACGAATTGCATCAGGCAGAGAACAGGAATACCCTCTTCATATGCCAAAGATGGTGGTGAATTTAGAGAAGCTGCATTTCAAGATTCAAATGATAAAGAGCTTTATAGTCATGTATCAAATCCCAGTTTTGCTTGAATATAAAAACATGTTTTTTTTTTGTCATGATTTGAATCTCATGTGGTATTTGGATCCTTGACTGCTGCAGAGTGGATCTTCTTCTGCCTCAGGTTCTTATCTGCCATACAGAGAGAAACACATTTACCGTCTAGTTTCAGTGGTGCAACACTATGGGAGAGTTGGAAGTGGTCATTACATTGTCTATAGAAGAGTAGCTGCTAATACTAAGCAAGACAGTCCTGCTGTATCTTCTCCCGAGCAGTGGTATTGCATGTCTGACTCCGAAGTCCATGCTGTATCTGAGAAAGACGTTCTTGATGCTGAAGCTAGCTTGTTGTTCTATGAAAAAGTACCCCGACTCTGAAATTTATCAACTTGAGTTTGATCCCATTGGGCGGGAGTATATTAATTCGGTTAAAATATATTTGAACAAGATGCATTTGTTGAATGCATTGAGTTATCCATACGTGTTTACCAACTAAACAAAAGGAAACACTACCTAAAAGATGAATTTGTAATTGTCATTTACAATCCATTATATCTTCTATTTGGGTAAAAAGGTAGAAGTATTATGAGATATTATTGTACCTCAGTATTTATTCCTCCATGTCAATTTATTGTAATTCTCTTTATTTTCATTTGTATTTTTTTGGATGAACTGTAAGTATATATAAGGAACCATTCAAAAGTGTTTGTCTGTACAGCAAAAAGGTGAGAAAAAATGTAGGCTATCCAAAGTTTGGATAACCCATCACCTGCAAAACATAAGGTGCCATAATAGCAACCTCAACTACATCCAAGCCAATCACAAGCAAAACTGGGTGATGGGCATAATGTTTTCAAAATACAACCAAATCATATGGATAGATGGTATATAAAACTTTGTACACAATGTACTTAATCTTAGCAAACACTTCATCTTCCTTTGGGGTCACACCATCAAAAATAGCAGCATTCCTAACCCTCCAGATCCAGTAAATAGAATGGCAAAATGCAATCCGAGATGCCTTGGCTTGTATTGTTGTACATTTGCTCCACTCCTTTCTTTCTTTATCCATTTAACCGAGCTAGCAAGGGTCCCCATAAGACGTGGCATGCCCATCCATTCCTTGACCATTCTCCAAACCTTCCCTGAAAAAGGACATTCAAAGTATAGGTGTGGAACCGTTTCCGGTCCACCCTTGCACAAAACACAAGTGTTAACTACATCCAATCTGTGAAGATTATCACACGTAGCCAACCTATTCCGGAATGCCAACCAAGTAATAAAGGAAAACTTTGGAGGGATATAATCTTTCCATATAAAGGACATCCACCTGCGGGTGGGGGCCCTAGTTCTAAGCAAGTTGTAAACTTTAGAGGATACAAGTTTCCCAATTCCCATTGGTTTGGAAAGCGCCTAGGCCGAGTATAGCATTTGGGATATCATGAAATTTGGAGAGTATTTCATCTCGGATAAGTGCAATCTTCTTCATCAATTGCGAGTCCCTATTGGGTGGGGGTCCTTATTTTCATTTGTACATTATAGGGCACGAGTATACCCACCTCCAAGTCCCTAACTCTAAAAGGTTGCAACTTGTATAAGGGAAGTCATCTCACAATTTTATATTGGTAGATTCTATGGTACCCATAATGTACCATACCTTTGTCCACATGGACCAATGAGAATGTAGCAGTTGAATGATTTAAATCTAAATTAAAAATGATAAAGTGATGTGGTCTAATCAAATGAAGGGTAGGTACGGTATCCCATATTTAAGAAAGGTACCGGAGTTGTCACCTTTTATATTTTACGGGAAAGTTCCCGAAATAGGACTAAAATAGTTTGAAAATTCCAAAATAGGACTGTCATGTATTTTATCCCCAAAATAGGAGTAATTACTGTCAAGTTTGGAAAATATTGCCATGTTTGGAGTCTGATACTGCCAAAACATTGCAATAATTAGTCCTATTTTGGGAGTAAAAACATGGCAGTCCTATTTTAGAATTTTCAAACCTTTTAGTCTTGCTTCGGGTAATATTCTATTTTCGATGACTGATAACTATTTTCTTTCTTTCTCCCCTCCAAATGTTATGATTTCAACTTATAACTATTAATGAGATTTTGATATATCGTTAATTAATTGTTATTAATTACACATTTATTAAGTGATTAGCTAAGACAACATTTTTACTTGTTTTGAGTCTTTTGACTTCAAATGATTTTCCACTACTCTCTTTATATAAAGATGTGGTATTATTTTGTCCTTCATTTTCACATTCAATATTTCCTTTGACCTTAAATCGTTTAATATGTGAAATTTTTCCTAAAATATTACGGAGTATGGAGTACTAACATAAAATTTATAGATATAAATGTGACTAAAGTTATTGTGATTAAACTTTTATAGTTACTACGGAGTATGATATAAGATTTGAATATAATTATAGTCACTAAAATTTAACAAGTCACATTTTATTCGCGATTTAAATTTTGCTCAAATGTTTAAAGTTACGGAGTATTTCTTAATATGTTTCATTTGATGTGTCCCCTTCATCTTTTCTATCCGTTGTCCAACAAACAATTACTTTAATTCCTACTTTATTCAAATGTAGATAAATGATATAGATCTATTTGGTAACACACGTTTATAGTTTACTGGTCATTTTTTTTATATCAAAAGTGTAATATTTCAAATTTACGTGTTAGACCGTGTAACAAAATTTCACTTTTGATCATATGATTACCACAATTATTTCACACTCAATTCACGTCTTTGACCACTTTTGATACATAACTATTGTTTTTCACCCATATATGATTCTTTTGTCAATATTTCCGGTGGTTAAAATCGCTGAAGAAACGTCGGGAATTTGGACGGAAGGACCAGAAGTGGTTAAGATATTTTAGTCAAGTATAAGAAACATGTGAAATTGACCTAAAACTCGTAGGACTATAGGTGAGATAATTTTGAATCAAAATAAGTGAGGTGACATAGGGGGTGTTTGGAAGTGCTTCTGCTTCTGCTTCTTTTTAAAGCAGAAGTAGAATTAGAACCAGTTTTCAGAAGTTGGTACCTCCCAACTTCTAAAAAAACTGATTCTGAAAGTAAATTAGAGCACCAGAAGTGCTTTTGAAATTTCACCCACACTCCAGCTTCTGCTTCTGCTCCTTGAAGGAGCAGAATCAGATCCAAACACCCCCATATACATTTCTAGTTGAATATTCTCAAAATGAATGTCTTAGCTATTTTTATACGGAGTACTTCGTATATTGTTTCCTTTCTAATTTCTATTAATAAAATAGGTTTTAAATATAATTTACTCGTAATTGATCAGATACATCTACTTCAGTAGTTTTGGATGTAGTTTCACCCATTTTAACAGATTCAATCAATTTAAGTCCGACCAAACAGGTTCGCAAAAATTAGATTGACTGGTTAAACTTGATCGGCCTTAAACAAATGAGATCGAACTTAAACATAACGTGGTTTCATATATCAAATGAATGTCATGATAACTTTTAATTACTATGATTATGTTTAATTTTATATTATGATGACTATCAGAATATAATAATAACAATTTTAATCACATTTTTATTATTGTGATTATGGTTATGGTTTATGAAAGTAACATTATACGAAAAATTACTTTTTTTAAACTCTACTGTGAATTTGAATCATGGGTTACAGGAGCTGGGACCTGACTCCTGAGCGACAAGGGAAAAAGCAAAGAGGTAAAAAGAAAAGAGAATTGCCCCCCACTCAAGGCAGTTCATAATAAAACCCTCGATCAGATCGCTGCCCTTTCTAAATAGGGCTTCACACGTTCAAGCTCAATCACTTGCCTTGGAATTGAATTCGTAGCCAAGAATCCACCATGGTGAGATTTTCCGTCATTCGTCTTCCTTGTGCATTTGTAGTTGTAATGTGTTTTTGGATCTTGAATTTCTGGAATGAAATGCTTCCTGGTCCAGGACGGAGACGGGAAATTGGAGTCGCAGATAGAGGCACTGCTGAATGTGGAGAAGCAGATGAGGCAGGTCGGCGATGTGGCTGGAACTCGTAAGGCTGTCTCCGAAATACTGCAGCTCTGCTTTGAGGCGCGCGCCTGGAAAACTATGAATGATCAGATTCTTCTTTTATCCAAGCGTCGCGGTCAACTTAAGCAGGTCAATTTGGTTTTTCTGATTAGAAATGTGTAAACTATGTGGTCATTTTAGTTTGGACCCTGAACTTAAAGTAGTTGTTCTTTTACATTTTGCTTTCGATTCTTGGTGGTCTAATGCTTGGTGTTTAAATTTTCACCTTATGCTTGCTGAGTTTACCATTTGGAAATGTGGTCTGTCTTCATGCTTTGTAGATTTATGCTGGAAGCCTTTAGCTCATTTTGTGTTTGCTGCTAGAGAAATATTGTTTTTATAAAAAACATTCAGCATTTCAGCACATACACACACAATCTATGTGATAGTTCATACGAAGTATTTGGTTTGAAAAAAAAAATATGTGAGTGCATGCACTACACTGACAAGGAAACAGTTATACCTTGCTTGTCAAATGTCCAGTTTCACTTGGCGTATACATTTTTCTTTTTACTGAGCTGTTTTGTGTGTTAAGGTTAGGCTAGTGTGAATTTTTTAACATTATGTACTGGATTAGTTGATTATAGTCCTTCTGAATATTATGGCACCAGTGTATTTTCTTGTTCAATTATGAGAGTTAATATGTCCTCACCCTTCAATAGTGTGGGTATTCAAGCTCTCTTATACTTGCATAATCTAGTTCTTATTTGCATTGGCTTTATTTCAAAATTGATATTAATGGAAATATGGAATACTATTTCACATACGGCATGTTTTTCATTTGTCTATCTGGGAGAGCTAGAGAAGTGCCGTTTGGATACAGACTATTTCTAGAGTTTCTGTGCGTGAATAGTTCTGGTCAGACTGACCTGGTATAAAAAAGGTTAAACATCCTTTTCTGCCCCGGTTCTGCCCCCACTCCTATATCTGAACCTCAACACTTCCTATTTGCCTTAATTGTATCTCACTTTGTTCCACCGGAACAAGAGAAAAATGGGAAACATGAAATGAGAAGTGCTATCATTCAATAGATACAGGCTAGACATCAGTGTTGCTGTCTTCTTGTTCCATTCTTGCAAGCATCCTGTCACATAGTTGAACCAAGTGGTTTTTGACCATGAGGAAAATGAAAAGTTCAGCCACCAAGACCTAACACTTCATTAATGGCTAATTGGACACTATACATTACTCGTATTATTGTTAGTATTATTTGTTTGAGTATGAGCCTTTTTAGCTTTTACTGATATGCATGGTTTAAAAAGGAGCTCACAGGTTTTTTTTTTGAGGCACCCCTCAAGGTGAGGCATACACCTTAAAAGTCAAGGCATACGCTTGAGGGGTGCCTTCAGGCATTTTCTGAGGCACAATTTCCTTTGTTTCTATCTTTTTAATGGGTTGTAAGTTGTAACTTAAGAAAGGCCCAGTGTATTATATTTAATAATAGGCCCATACATTAAACATGTTTCCATAGTCCACATTAAACTCCTAACAAGTGTTGTTTCATTTAAAGTATTCATTAATCATTAAAATATCTATATCATTTGCAATATAGCCAACGATTTACT